CTTGGGGCAATCCACCCCTTTTAGCTAAAAACTATTTTCCGAGCTACCACTGTGATCTCGCCCTGGAACATTTCGACCGACCGTCAGTCCGCCCTGGCATTTGTCCTCGACGAGTGTCCTGGACTCCGCCCTGGATCTGTCCCGGAAGAGTGGCCGTCCTGGCATCTTGGATTCCGCGCTGGATCTGTCCTGGGAGAGTGACCCATCTGGCATATGTCCTGGAAGAGTGTCTTGGATTCCGCCCTGGATCTGTCCTGGAAGAGGGTCCTGGACTCCGCCGTGGAATGACGGTCCTGGATCTGTCCTGGAAGTGTGTCTTGGACTCCGCCCTGGATCTGTCCTGGAAGAGTGTCCTAGACCCCGCCCTGGGAGTATCCTGGAAGAGTGTCCTGGCCTTCGCCCCGCCGGAGGGGTGTCCCGGATCCGTCCTGGAAGAGTGTCTTCGCCCTCTCGGCGCCTCCCTTGGTGCTTGCTTCCGACCGAGCGTTTGGGCCCACACCCCTCCCCCCAGGCGCCCCGCCCTGGAGTGTTAGTCCGACCGGCCGTCCGACCAGCTGGCGCCACCCCCCGCTCCGCGGGCCCCCCCGCGGCGCCTCCCTGCCGAGCTTGACCCCTCCCCCCACCACCCCCTCCCCGCATCTTCCCCCTTCCTTCCAGCCCCCCCCCCCCCCTCCCTCACTCATGCCCTCGACGATTCCACCGGCCCCCGATGCTGAGCCTCCCACCTCCCTCCGCCCCCCTTTCTTCCCCCATCCCTCCCTCCTCCCTGCATCCCTCCATATCCCTCCCTCCTCCCTCACTCCCTACTCTCCCCTTCCACAGACGCGTCATCACCGGCCTCGTCGAGTCCACCGTCCCGCAAATGCTGTGTGGCACTGCGCTGGCGTGACGCCACCCGCTGGCTCTTCGGCATTGCGGTACGCTGGATTCGCCGGGGGCTTTCTCACGAAGTATCAGTTCCACCTTAATCACGAATGCCATCGCGTCACAACGGGCCCCATCATTGGAGCACGCCCCGCTGAAACCGGTTGAAACCTCGCAGGGCTCAGCATTCAGTTCGAAATCACCTGCAGCGCCCAAAAGCACATACTGCAGGTCGTCGTTGGCATGTGCCCGCTCGCCGGGGAACGCATCTCTCGCGCTCTCCCCCAATCCTAGAACTCCTTAGCCCCTTCGCCATCCCCGACTGCTCCGCACCCACAGTTGTGTGACCCTTGGTATTTTGCATCAGTAGCTAATTATCACATGTTGGCATGAAAAATATGATCCTTGGCACCCGTGCCTCTTGTTCAGGAGAGTGGATGGAGCCTGGTTTGGGGCGTTTCGCTCGGGAGACCCTCGGGATTTAGTTTGGCCTCTGGTTTTGCGGCCTGGTGTGGCGGGGCGCCCCGACTGAGGCATCCTCAGAATATGCTTGCTTGCCTGGTCTGGAGCCGGTTTCGCCAGAGACTTCCTCACAGCTTGCTTGGTCTGGCCTGGTTTCAGCGAGGTTTCGCCTGAGGCATCGTCGCAAGTTGCCTGGTTTCGGCACGGTTTCGCGAGAAACGTCCTTGCACTTTTCCTGGTTTGGCGCGTTCGCCAGAGACGTCCCCGCGACTTGCTTGGTTAGCCTGCTCTGGGCACAGTTTCGCTCGAGACGTCCTTACGGGTTGGTTTGGCCGCTCAGTAGAAAGCGGGTGCAAACTATGCGGCGCAAGCTATGTGGTGCAAGCAGCGCGACGCTTGGCGGTGTAAGGTATGTGGTGAAAGCTATCTGGCGCAAGGTACGCGATGCAAACTACGCGGTGCAAAACATGTATGTGTGTATATATACATATAGATATATGTAAAGATTGCCCCCCCAACCCGGGTTCCGCGTTCGAGCTGGCGCCGAAGACGCTATTCCGGGTGAAGACGCTATTCCCGGTGAAGACGCTATTCCTTGTGAAGACACTATTCCAGGTGAAGACGCCATTCCCGGTGAAGGCGTTACTCCCATGGGAATAGCAGCTTCACTGTGAAGACGCTATTCCGGGTGAAGACGCTATTTCCGGTGAAGACGCGTTCTGCGGACACAGACAGCATTTCCCTCATGAAGACCATATTCCTTGTGAGGACGCTATTCCCAGTGAAGACGGTCTTCCGGGTGAACACGCTATTCCCGGTGAAGACGCTACTCCAAGAGGAGACGCTATTCCTGGTGAAGACGCTATTCTGGGTGAAGACGCTATTCTGGGTGAAGACGCTATTCCTTGTGAAGACGCTATTCCCGGTGAAGGCGCTCTTCCTTGTGAAGACGGTATTCCGGGTGAAGACGCAATTCCCGGTGAAGACGCTATTCCTGGTGAAGACGCTATTCCGGGTGAAGACGCTATTCCCCGTGAAGACGCTATTCGGGATGAAGTTGCTATTCTTTGTGAAGACGCTATTCCGGGTGAAGACGGTATTCCCGCTGAAGACGCTATTCCCGGTGAAGACGATATTCCTTGTGAAGACGCTTTTCCCGGTGAAGACGCTATTCCCGGTGAAGACGGTCTTCACGGTGAAGACGCTATTCTTGGTGAAGATCGCTATTCCGGGTGAAGACGCTATTCCCGGTGAAGACGCCATTCCCTGTGAGGACGCTGTTCCCAATGAAGACGGTATTGCGGGTGAAGACGCTATTCCGGGTGAAGACGCTATTCCGGGTAAAGACGTTACTTCTCGTGAAGATGTTTCTTCTCCTCACCAGGCCCAGTATTCAATGCGTTCCCATCTTAATTGTTAGTTGAAAGTGCAATTTTACTCTACGCTTTCCGAGTCCAACACAACACGTACCCCATCTGTTGTGCCAAACCCTCTGCTGGACTAGACCCATCCCCAAGTTGTTCAAAACAGCAGAATCCTTGGTGCTAGACGTGCCCCATCTGCTGTGCAACACCCTCTGCTGGGCAAGACCCCTTCCGGAAACAGAATCCTTGGTGCTAGACGCGCCCCACCTGCTGCGCGGCACCCTCTGCTAGGCAGGGCACCTCTCCATGTTGATTCAAAAAGAACCCTTGGTGTCAGACGTGCCCCATCTGCTGTGCAGCACCCTGTACCAGGCAAGACCCCTCCCAAAGTTGATTAGAGAAGAATCCTTGGTGCTACACGTGCCCCTTTGCTGCGCGGCACCCTCTGCTAGGCAAGACCCACCCCCAAGTTGATTTAAAATGAATCCTTGGTGCTAGATGTGCCCCTTGTGCTGTGTTGCACCTTCTGCTAGGCAAGACCCCTCCCCAAGTTGATTCAACAAATACTCCATGGTGCTAGACGTGCCCCATCTGCTGTGTGGCACCCTCTGCTAGGCAAGACCCCTCCCCAAATTGATTAAAACAGAATCCTTGGTGCTAGATGTGCCCCATCTGCTGTGCGGCACCCTTTGCTAGGCAAGACCCCTCCCAAGTTGATAAAAAAAACACAATCCTTGGTGCTAGGCGTGCCCCATCTGCTGTGCGGCACCTTCTGCTAGGCAAGACCCCCCACCCAAGTTGATTAGAAAAGAATCCTTGGTGCTAGACGTGCCCCATCTGCTGTGCGGCACCTTCTGCTAGGCAAGACCCGTCCCAAGCTGATAAGACATAATCCTTGGTGCAAAACGTGCCCCATCTGCTGTGTGGCACCCTTTGTTAGGCAATGGCCCTCCCCATGTTGATTTTAACAAAGAATCCTTGGTGCTAGGCGTGCTCCATTTGTTGTGCGGCACCTTCTGCTAGGCAAGACCCCTCCCCAAGTTGATTAAACAAAGAAACCTTTGCTTTTCGGCACCTTTGCTTTGCGGCACCCTCTCTAAGGTGAGCCCCTTTGCTATGCTGCACCTTCTGCTAGGCAAGACCCCTCCCCAAGTTAATGAAAACATAATCCCTGGTGTTAGACATGCCCTTTTGCTGTGTGGCACCCTATGCTTGGCAAGACCCCTCGCCAAGTTGATTAAACAAAGAATCCTTGGTGCTAGACATGCCCCTTTGCTGTGCGGCACCCTCTCATAGGCAAGAGCCCTCCCACATTGATTTTAAAAAAGAATATTTGATGTTAGGCGTGCCCCATCTGTTGTGCGGCACCTTCTGCTAGGCAAGACCCCTCCCCAAGTTGATTAAAACATAATCCTTGGTGCTAGATGTGCCCCTTTGCTGTGCGGCACCCTCTCCAAAGTGAGCCACTTTGCTGTGCGGCACCTTCTTCTAGGCAAGACCCCTCCCCAGGTTGATTAAATCAGAATCCCTGATGCTAGACATGCCCTTTTGCTGCGCGGCACCCTATGCTAGGCAAGACCCCTCGCCAAGTTGATTAAAACAGAGTCCTTGGTGCTAGACATGCCCCTTTGCTGTGCGGTACCTTCTGCTAGGCAAGAGCCCTCCCCAAGTTGAGTTAACAAATAATCATTGGTGCTAGGCGTGCCGCACCTGCTGTGCGGCACCTTCTGCTAGGCAAGACCCCTCCCCAAGTTGATTAAAGATGAATCCTTGGTGCTAGACGTGCCCCATCTGCTGTGCGGCATCTTTTGCTAGGCAAGACCCCTCCCCAAGTTCATCAATGAAGAATCCCTGGTGCTAGACGTGCCCCATCTACTGTGCGGCACCTCGTGCTAGGCACTGCCCACCGGTTAGGCGTTTAAGAAGCACCACGGTCACACGCAGCCAGCCTAGCTGTGCACCCTGGAGGATGCAGCCGAGGCGAAATCGAAGCGTCAAGCCGAATAGAGGCGTCACGAGCTTCACTTGGCGTCTGGGGAATAGAGGCTTCATGCCGAATTGAGGCTTCACGAGCTTCACCGGGCGTCAGGGGAATAGAGGCTTCAGGCCGAATAGAGGCTTCACGAGGTTCACCTGGCGTCAGGCGAATAGAGGCTTCAGGCCGAATAGAGGCTTCACGAGCTTCACCGGGCGTGAGGGGAACAGAGGCTTCATGCCGAATAGAGTCTTCACGAGCGTCAATGGGCGTCAGGGGAATAGAGGTTCCAGGCCGAATAGAGGCTTCACCGGGCGTCAGGGGAATAGAGGTTCCAGGCCGAATAGAGGCTTCACGATGTTCAATGGGCGTCAGGGGAATATAGAGGCTCCAGGCCGAATAGAGGCTTCACGATGTTCAATGGGCGTCAGGGGAATAGAGGCTTCAGGCCGAATTGAGGCTTCACGAGCTGTCAGGGGAATAGAGACTTCAGGCCGAACAGAGGCTTCACGAGGTTCAATGGGCGTCAGGGGATTAGAGGCTTCTGGCCGAATAGAGGCTTCACGAACGTCAATGGGCGTCAGGGGAATAGAGGCTTCTGGCCGGATAGAGGCTTCACGAGGTTCAATGGGCGTCAGGGGAATATAGAGCCGATTTGGATCCAATTACGTGTGCGGGACTCACGTGGATCCAATTTCCGTGTCTTCTGGATCCAGTTTCTTGGCGTGGAAGTTTCGTGGATCCAATTCTTTTCCTGGAGTAAATATATAATAATAATACTAATATTAGTAATGACTACAAGGGACCCAAGGGGAAATGCATCCACGGAGCCTTTGACCTGCAGCCCAAGCTTTGATTCTACGGGGGAGGGGTGTCCCGTCCGAGGAGGAAGGCGGGCGAGGAGGGAGGACGGAAGAGGCGGATGAGGGAGGAGGGAAAAGGAGAGAAAACGACCGCGGTGCCCAAGTCGGGAGCTCGAGCGCCACAGCGGGGTTGGCCACCTCTCCGAACCCCTCACATAACATTCGTTGCTCGAGCGCCACAGCTGCCCTGGCCAACTCCCGCAGCCTCCATAACATGTGGGTGCTCGAGCGCCACAGCGGGCGAAGCCAACTCCCGGAGCCTCCCGTAACACATGCCGCACCCCACCTAGAGGGGTGTCCCTACCGAGGAGGGAGGCGGACGAGGAGGGAGGACGGAGGAGGCGGATGAGGGAGGAGGGAAAAAGAGAGAAAACGACCGCGGTGCCCAAGTCGGGAGCTCGAACGCCACAGCGGGGCTGGCCACCTTTCCGAACCCCTCCCATAACATGTCGTTGCTCGAGCGCCACAGCTGCCCCGGCCAACTCCCGCAGCCTCCATCACATGTGGGTGCTCGAGCGCCACAGCGGACCTGGCCAACTCCCGCAGCATCCCATAACATATGCCGCACCCCAACTCGACGCGAGCGCGATATGTTCGCTGCGTCCGCATCCGCTAAAGTCAACGACATTTCGCATGTGTCATGTGGGCCTCAAGAGGAAAATCTTTCGGCCTGCTCAAGTATTTATAAATATATGTGGTAAAAGCAATCGTGGAAGCCAACGTCGCCTCGCCCTCAGTAGCAAGTGACCGGCTGTCAGCCAACGTCGGCACTTGGACTGGCATTCGGAGAAAATCCCGAGGTTGTACCAAGTGCCTGTCCCATATCCAGGGATGCTTCTTCCCGTGTGAAAATACGCGGACGGCTTTGCCGTATGCGCTCTGGATCCTCGCGCCTTACCCGTTCAGGGTTGGAGGTGCTTCTTTGCTGCGCATCTGTCCTGCTAGCTTGCCATACGTTCAGGTCAAACTCATATGTGGGGTCAGCCCTCTTTTGGGAAGAGAAAAGGACAACCTATGTGTTTTACCACGCGTTCGCCAGCGATCTCTTACCACCAATAGTGGCTGAACAGATGCTCGATGTGTCGTCAGCTTTCTACAATGGCGGTATTACGGGTTTGTATTACAACGTCGCTGCAATAACAAATCGTGCCTTGCAGTACCGGATACCGAACTGCAGTTTCTGTCACCGTCTTGGAAGCTTTATGAATGGCAACGAAGTTGACACGCTGCAAAGCCTATTTGATCACTGCATCAGCGGAAGTGGTTCCGACCAGGTCGTGTACATTCACTCAAAGGGTTCTTTCCATCCTTCCGATAGAAACACACAGTTACGACGATTCCTCATGCGGGGGGCTTTCTCTACAGAGTGTCTGAACATGCCGAGCACATGCAATGTATGCGCTGCACGTTTTTCTCCTCTGCCCCACCAACACGTGCCAGGGAACATGTGGGTGGCCAGGTGTTCCTACATCAAAGGTTTGATCCCTCCCTTGAAGTTCGGGGAGGCCATGCTGAAATTCGATACGGCGGCCCACACAGGTCGTGCCGACAATGACAGCAGTTGGTCTTGGGGTGCTGAGGTGTGGGGCCGACACGAGGATGCAAAAATCGGGAAAGGGCGATATGCAGCAGAGCATTGGCTAGGCTCGCATCCGGGCCTTTCGCCTTGCGATATTTATTCGGGGGACTACTATTATGGGTATAAGGGGCCGGACGACATGAGCAACATGTCATGGACTCCTACTCTACAGGCTGCGCCACGATACGATCTTACGGTATTCAGTTACACGCACCATTTTAAATGTTTGGAGCGCTTGCAGTCCTGGCGCCTGCACGAGTTCACGTTTCTTTACAACGAGACCCCCTCTCATTCAAGCTGGTTCTGGACATACTACCCACCTGCCAATTGGAGCAAAGTTGGAAACATGTCAACAATGAATCAGTCAAGCCACGTGTCAGCATCGAAGAATTCCTCTCGCTTTGTGGGGTGCACGTCCGGACCACGTACAGCCCAGTCGTCGGGTGTTGCTAGAAGTACCCCTGGTCCAAGGTTCCCCCAGGATTCTCGGGATGACCCAGACGGCCTCCAGGGCACCCTTCACGAGGCCCGGAGGGCCCCAGGGGCTCAAAAATAATGCGACATGATGGGGGCACCTTGGGCCAGGGGTACTTCTAGCAACACCCGAAGTCGTTTTGGGGCCTCATGGGGGCCCCTTGGGAACCTCAATGGGGGCCTCTGGGGCCTTCCTGGGGGCCTCGTGGTGGCCTCCCGGGGCGTCTTGGGGGCGCGCCCGCAGGGTCCAGACGGCGCAAAAGCGCTTCAAGACGGTCCACGACGCGCCCAAGAGGCCCCAAAGAGGCCCCCCAATGGCCCCAAGAGGCTCCCTAAAGAGGCTTCCAAGAAGCCCCCAGGAGGCCCCATCGATGCATGCAACTTTGATAAACGTGCAAAAACGCACAACGACACCCAAGATGGTCCACAACATGCCGGAGGACGGCCGAAGGAGGCCCCGAGGCGCCCGTCGAGGCCACGCGAGGAAGCATTACAACCACCTGAAATAACACAGGAAATCTATGATTTTGGTTTCTTCGGCCTCTCGGAGGAGGAGGAGAAAGGAGGAGGAGGAGGAAGAGGAGGAGGAGGAAGAGGAGGAGGAGGAGGAGGAGGAGGAGTGGTCCAAGAGGGCCTCAAGAGATCTCAAGATGCTTCAAGTTGGCCCGACGGCGAGGGAGCCCCACGACGGAGCCGATACGTTCTTGGAGGCGTCTTGGTGCCACTTTGGTGCTCTCTTGGGGTCCTCTTGGGCCGTCTTGAGGGTTTCTTGAACCATTTTTGGGGCCTCTTCTGGGCAGTATTGGGGCCTTGTTGGGCTATTTGGGGGTCCCTTTGGGCCGAAAGGGAGTAATTTCGGAGGCTGCTTGGACCGTTACGGGCTGCCGAAATTTCGTAACTGCGAGAACGCCCCGAAATCGTACAACAACTTACGGAAAATCATTGTTTCTGCCCTCTGGAGGCGCTCGTGGGGGTCTTTTTGGGTCCCTCTTCTTTGGCCTTTGGGGTCCTCTTGGGGCTATCTTGGGCCGTCCTGAGGCCATCGTGGGTCGTCCTGAAGCCATCTTGAGCCGTCGGGATTCCCCTGTGGACTCCAAGGGGGCCCAGAGGGCGAAAATCACTTATTTTCCACAGGGTTTTGGCAGGTTTTGGATCTTCGCACGATTGGGTCGGCGACTCGGCGGGGGCCCAGGGGTGGATTAAGGGGGGTTGCTTTGCAATGTATAAGAATGCCATGTTTTGCAATGGGCCTTCCTTGACGCATCGTGGCCGGGCCCTTGCGTCACACACCCGTCCTGTCGGATTGCCGAGACTCTTCGCTGCAGTCTGGACGTGGATTCCTCTCGCTTCGCGGGGTGCACGTCCGGAGCACGTACAGTCCAGTCGTTACGAGGCTTCTTGGGAGCTTTTTTGTGGCCTCTTGGAGGTGTCTTGGGGGCTTCTCGAGGCCTCTTCTGCACTGGGCTTCTTTGGGGCCTCTTGGGGCCTCTTGGGGGCGTCTTGGGTCGTCTTGGGCCGCTCTTGCGGCGTGTGGCCTATTCGGAGGGACCGGTCTGGGGGCCTCTCGCGGCCGTTTTGGGGCTTTCTTGGGGTCCTCTTGATTTGGGCCGTCTTAGGACCCGCTTGGGTCGTCATGGAGGCCTTTTAAGTGCTTCTTGGGCCGTCTTGGGGCCATTTTGGAGGCTGCTTGGGCTGTCATGGGCCTCTGTGCCAGGGTTGAAAAAAACACGCGATGCTCGGCAGTGTTTATGCGAGAAGCGGCGCACAGCTCCCAGCGTGACAAGGCAGACTTGTTCTGCCCCGCTTGCTGGCGGGCAGATTTTGCGCCGCGCAGCCGATCCAGACTGGTAATCGCCGCTGCGGAAAAGTGTTCAAATGTGGACGGTGTGGGCGTTGGTTGGCGTGACCTGCTCGGCTGCCGCGCGTGCGTGCCGTTCCGTCCTGCAATCCCCAGGGCTTCTGGGCGGCCTCGTGGGGGGCTCTTGGGAGCTTCTTGAAAGCCTCGTGGGGGCTTCTTGGAGCGTCATTGGGGCCGCTTTGGGACCTCTTGGGGCTTCTTGTTGACGTCTTGCGCCGGCTTGGGGCGCTCTTGCGCGGTCTGGCCCCTTCGGAGGCCATCTTGGAGGGCTCTCGCGGCCACCTGAGGGCTCTCTTGGAGTCCTCTTGGGATGTCTCGGGGGCCCCTTGGACCGTCTTGGGGGCCTCTTTTGGCCGTTTCGGGGCCATCTTGGGCAATCCTGGGGCCTCTTTGGCCGTCTTGGGGTCTTCCTGGGGGCTGCTTGGGCCGTCATGGTCCTCTGAGAACCGAAAGAAGTGAGAACGCGACAATCTTTCGAAAACCAACGGAAAATCAATGATTTTGGCTCCTGGACGCGCTCTTTGGGGTCTTCATGGGGCCCTCTTGGGCCGTTTTGGGGGTCTCATGGGCCTCTTGGGACCATCTTGAAAGCCTTGGGGCCGTCTTGGGCCGTCTTGGGGCAATCTTGGGCCATATTGAGGCCCTCTTGGAGCCCCAAGAAGCCCAAGAGGCCGAACTTGCTGATTTTCCATAGGCTTTTGTAGGTTTGAGGCCCCAGAAGGACGGCCGCCACCTGTTGGTACGGCGTTGTGGCGCGATTCCAGGGGGGGTTAGGGGGGAATGCATAACATTGCAAAGAAATATAATATGTGGCGATTTGGCACTCATTGGATACATCGGATACGCTGCATTCTCGCCTCCGCAGAAAACGCAGCCGCCCAGCACGTCACTTCCGGACGTGGATTCCTCTCGCTTCGCCGGGTGCACGTCCGGAGCACGTACAGTCCAGTCGTTACGAGGCTTCTTGGGAGCTTTTTTGTGGCCTCTTGGAGGTGTCTTGGGGGCTTCTCGAGGCCTCTTCTGCACTGGGCTTCTTTGGGGCCTCTTGGGGCCTCTTGGGGGCGTCTTGGGCCGTCTTGGGGCGCTCTTGCGGCGTGTGGCCTATTCGGAGGGGCCGGTCTGGGGGCCTCTCGCGGCCGTTTTGGGGCTTTCTTGGGGTCCTCTTGATTTGGGCCGTCTTAGGACCCGCTTGGGTCGTCATGGGAGGCTTTTGAGTGTTTCTTGGGCTGCTTGGGGCCATTTTGGAGGCTGCTTGGGCTGTCATGGGCCTCTGTGCCAGGGTTGAAAAAAACACGCGATGCTCGGCAGTGTTTATGCGAGAAGCGGCGCACAGCTCCCAGCGTGAGAAAGCAGACTTGCTCCGCCCCGCTTGCTGGCGGGCAAATTTGGCGCCGCGCAGCCGATCCAGACTGGTAGTCGCCGCTGCGGAAAAGTGTTCAAATGTGGAAGATGTGGGCGCTGGTTGGCGTGACCTGCTCGGCTGCCGCGCGTGCGTGCCGCTCCGTCCTGCAATCCCCAGGGCTTCTGGGCGGCCTCGTGGGGGGCTCTTGGGAGCCTCTTGAAAGCCTCGTGGGGGCTTCTTGGAGCGTCATTGGGGCCGCTTTGGGACCTCTTGGGGCTTCCTGTTGACGTCTTGCGCCGGCTTGGGGCGCTCTTGCGCGGTCTGGCCCCTTCGGAGGCCATCTTGGAGGGCTCTCGCGGCCACCTGAGGGCTCTCTTGGAGTCCTCTTGGGATGTCTCGGGGGCCCCTTGGACCGTCTTGGGGGCCTCTTTTGGCCGTTTCGAGGACAGCTCCAAGAGGGGGTCTTGGGAGCCTCTTGAAAGCCTCGTGGGGGCCTCTTGGAGCGTCATTGGGGCCGAGGACAGCCCCGAGAGGGGGTCTTGAAGGGGGAACCCGAACGGACGTTTGATCCTTCGACCCCAAAATGCCTCCCTGGTTGCCCCAAGAACCCCCCAACAGACCCACAGGGAACTCCGAGAGGCCACCCCCAGAAAAAAAAACGGGAGGCACCCAGGAGGCCCCCAAGAGGTTCAGAAATTGCCTCCCAAACGCCCCCAGGGCGCCTCCCACGAGACCCCGTTTGCCATCCGAGTGGCCTCAGACCCGCACACCAAGCGCTGTGGCGGGATGTGGCGAGGGCCATTCGGTAATCATTTTTTCTGATATTTTGACATATGCCCGCCGATTGTAAACGTGGGTAGTCGCTCGTTCATCTATGTTTGCACGGCGAACGCTGAACATGTCAACCTCAGAAATCATTACTGTTGGTGCGGGCGGTGCCGCGCTTGCCTGGCCCCGGGAGAATGATCCGCGCACGCGGTACACTGTCCAAGAGGGCCCGGCACGCCCCACATCTTGCTCCAAGACGCCCACGACGGCTTCAAAACGTATTTTGACAGATGCCCGCCATAGGTAAACGTGGGTTCTCGCCAGTTTTCGCATGCGCACGCTAAAAACGAGTTCCCAAGAGAACTTCAGAGGCTCCGCGTTACCGCCCCCTGACCTTCGGGAGGTCCCCTTCGACAGCATCGTGGACAGCCCTCGCCAACCCAGTCCCGCATCTCTGCACATAGTCTTCCAGCCCAAGGGGCCCCGACACGCCCCGCATTTCGTTCCAAGGCGCCCACGACGGCTCCAAAACGTGTTTTGACAGATGCCCGCCGTCTGTAAAAATGGGTTCTCGCCGGTTCCCCCATGCGCGCACTGACAACACTGAGAACGTCAGCCGAAAATATCACCATTGGCGGCGCGGGCGGTGCCGCGATTGCTGGGGGTCCCGGGGGGATTTTTCGCGCGCGCGCGGGCAGATTCCTTAGGGTTTCTGGCGACCCATGGGTTTCCCGTAATTCGACGGGGGCAATTCTGGAAAACCCGTAGGTCGCCAGATTCCCGAGGGGTTCTGGCGACTTCTGGGCTTCCCATAATTCCAGGAAGAGTTTTTGTTGATGTCGTGGGGCTCGCGTCTGACGCCCTGCAACCCCGGGTTTCCCAGAATTCGCGTTTGGAATTTTCCAAGTTCCGGGAAACCCATAGATGGACGGCAGCCTTCTTGGGAGGGCTCTTGGAGACCTCCTGGGGCGTTTTGGGGGCGTCTTGGGCCGTCTGGAGGCCATCGTGGCCGTCCTGGAGGATCTTTCGGCGACTCGGGGCCGTCTTGGACCGAATTGGTGGCCTCTTGGGGCCCTCTTGGCCCGTTGTGGGGCCCTGTGTCCTCCCATGGTGCGTTCGGGCCCGGGGGATCCAGGCGGACCTCCCTCCCTCCAAGTCGGCCGGGCAGGGCTCCGAGGGGGGGGGGCTCCGAGGGGAGGGGTTGGGGGAGGGGGAAGCACCTCACACGCTGATGACACCCCAAGGGGTCGGCGGATTTTGCCGCCGCGTGCACATTGCAGTGTTTATTGAAAGGGGTGGTGGGCCTGCACGCGCGGGGTAATATGATGCCCCGCGCCGTCGTGCACAACAACGGTGCACAGCGATGGCGAGACGCCAGAAGATGATCCAGATTATGTCGCAAAGTGCACTTTTAAAACCCGTGGGACATTGACGGGGTTGGCCCCTGGGGAGCTGTGTAGGACTCGACGAGTGTTTTCGTGGCTTCCGGGGCCGTTTGGGAGCCGTCGTGGGCGTCTTGGAGCGAGATTTGGGGCGTGTCGGGGCCCTTTTGGACCGTGTACCGCATGCTCGCGAAGGAGTGCTCCGGGGTCCCAGGCAATCGCAGCACAGCCCACGCCGTCAGTTGCGATTTTTTGCGGCTGACATTCTCAGTGTTCGCCGCGCGCGCATGGTGAAACGGGCGGGAAGCCACCTTCTACAGACGGCGGGCACCTGTCAAAATTCATTTGGAGCCATTGCGGGCGTCTTGGAGCGAGACGTGGGGCGTGCCAGGGCCCTTTTGGACAGTCCACCGCGTGTTCGCAAAGGATTCCCCCGGGGCTCCTTGCAAGCGCGGCACCGCCCGCGCCGGCTCGTATTCGAAGCATTCTCCAATGGTTCGCGGTCTTTTTGGTGGCCTGTGGGACCGTCGTGGCGCGGTCGTGGGAACGCCCTGGGCTGCACGAAGCGTCTGGCAGCAGAAATGATGGGGACCCGAAACACGTTTTAAACCTGTGGGACATTGGCGGAGATGGCCCCTGGAAACCTTTTGAGGTGTGTGGGGTTATCGTCGGGTGGTTTCGAGGCTTTTGGGGCCGTCTTGGAACCGTCGTGGGCGTTTTGCAGCGAGATGTTGGGCGTGACGAGCCTTCTTGGACAGTGTACCACGTGCTCGAGAGGGAGTGCACCGGGGCCCCCGGCAATCGCAGCACCGCCCGCACCTCGAGTAGTGATTTCTGCGGCCGACATTCTCAGTGTTCGCCGTGAACGCATGGGGAAACGGGCGGGAACCATTTTTACAGACGGCAGGCATCTGTCACAACACGTTTTGGAGCCGCCGTGGGCATCTTGGAGCGAGATGTGGGGCGTGCCGGGGCCCTCTTGGACAGTGTGCCGCGCGCGCGCGCGAAAAATCCCCCCGGGACCCCCAGCAATCGCGGCACCGCCCGCGCCGCCAATGGTGATATTTTCGGCTGACGTTCTCAGTGTTGTCAGTGCGCGCATGGGGAAACCGGCGAGAACCCATTTTTACAGACGGCGGGCATCTGTCAAAACACGTTTTGGAGCCGTCGTGGGCGCCTTGGAACGAAATGCGGGGTGTGTCGGGGCCCCTTGGGCTGGAAGACTATGTGCAGAGATGCGGGACTGGGTTGGCGAGGGCTGTCCACGATGCTGTCGAAGGGGACCTCCCGAAGGTCAGGGGGCGGTAACGCGGAGCCTCTGAAGTTCTCTTGGGAACTCGTTTTTAGCGTGCGCATGCGGAAACTGGCGAGAACCAACGTTTACCTATGGCGGGCATCTGTCAAAATACGTTTTGAAGCCGTCGTGGGCGTCTTGGAGCAAGATGTGGGGCGTGCCGGGCCCTCTTGGACAGTGTACCGCGTGCGCGGATCATTCTCCCGGGGCCAGGCAAGCGCGGCACCGCCCGCACCAACAGTAATGATTTCTGCGGTTGACATGTTCAGCGTTCGCCGTGCAAACATAGATGAACGAGCGACTACCCACGTTTACAATCGGCGGGCATATGTCAAAATATCAGAAGAAATGATTACCGAATGGCCCTCGCCACATCCCGCCACAGCGCTTGGTGTGCGGGTCTGAGGCCACTCGGATGGCAAACGGGGTCTCGTGGGAGGCGCCCTGGGGGCGTTTGGGGGGCGATTTCTGAACCTCTTGGGGGCCTCCTGGGTGCCTCCCGTTTTTTTTTCTGGGGGTGGCCTCTCGGAGTTCCCTGGGGGTCTGTTGGGGGGTTCTTGGGGCAACCAGGGAGGCATTTTGGGGTCGAAGGATCAAACGTCCGTTCGGGTTCCCCCTTCAAGACCCCCTCTCGGGGCTGTCCTGGGGCCCTTTTGGTTTGGGCCGTCTTGGGGGGTTCTTGAGCGGTCTTGGGGCCCTCTTGGGTCGTGTGGGGGCCCTCTTGGGGGCCTCGTGGACCTTCTCGGGGCGATCTAGAGGGTTTCTCGGGCCGCCTTGGACGTTGTCAACGCACAAGAGGCGAATGTGCTAAAAATTCACGCTTTCCCCCGGGAATGGGGCGATCTTTGCTCTTTGAGGCCGTCTTGGGACGCCTCTTGGGCGCTTTCGGGGGGTCCTGGGGGGCCTCCTGGGCCGTCTGGAGGCCATCGTGAACCTTTTGGATCGATCTTTCGGCGGCTCGTGGCCCTCCTGGACCGTCCGGTTGGCCTCGTGGGGCCCTCTTGGCCTGTTCCGAGGCCCTTTATTCTCCCAAGATGCATTCGTGCCGTCCCCGGGGGGACCGCCGCCCCCCAAGTCGACCGGACCGGGCTCCTCGGGGGAGGGAAGGGGGGGAGGGGGAAGCATCTCACGCGCCGATGAACCCCAAGGGGTCGGCGGATTCAAGATCGAGAAAAGGCAGCGGAAATGGAGACAGTGAGGAATTGCGGAAGTGGTGCTGACTTTGAGCGTTGCCTTGTCATTGATGACCCCATGTCTTCCGTTTGGTGCGAAATTGGCGCCAGTGCTTGATGTTGGCCGCAGAGGTTTGATTGGTTGCGCGATTGACGCGCGAATTTTTGAAAACATGCCAGGGGTTGTGCGACTCGCGTCCAGCAGTAGTTTACGACTCTTTGCTGAAAGTTTCCCAGCAAGTCTGCCGAGACTGGCAATGTGCAGCGCTCACGTCCTTATGCGGGATTGCAGAGCAAGTCGGGCAGGCATTGTTGCGATCCGATGAGCAACCCGAGGTGGGATTCGTAGGGCCCTTGGCCACCACTTGGAAATGGAGCATTTCGGTTTTCAGCAGAATATGCATAATACGATGTTCAAGCACATGCTTTTCCCTCCCCGTCAGTAGTACGCCATGTCTGCAGTGTCAAGTTGGTGGTCCCAGTCTGCACCATGATTGGAGGATGCGCAGTTGCGTGATGTAGCGTCTTGGTTTGAATTTTGTTTGCGGGCAGGGCACGCAACACTGCGTCAACCATTTCGATGCAGCGCTATGTGTGCGTTTAAGCGGGTACTGCCATTGCTGTGCAGCACATGATACGGACTTGTCGTCGCCGAGGCGCCGGATACAAAACATATCGCGCGAGACGAAGAAGAAGTGTGGTTCTTGGAGGCCTCTTGGGACGTTTCGGAGCGATCTTTGGGGGTATGACGGTTTCGTGGACGTCGGCGTGGACCGTATTGGGGCTCTCTGGGGTCGTTTCGGGAACCACTGCACCTTGGCAAAACGCCCTGCGAGGCCCGGGGGGCCGCTTCGAGGCCCGTCCGAAGGGTCCCAAAGCCCCAGATCCCGGGAGTCCCTTTTTTTTTGGGGGGGGGGTCCCCCCGCCCGGGCTTGTAAAAATATGAGAAGAGGTGTGTGTGTGTATATATATATGTATATATACACACTCCTCTTCCTTAAATTATTTCTATAAGCCCGGGCGGGGGGACCCCCCAAAAAAAAACGGACTCCCGGGATCAGGGGCTTTGGGACCCTCCAGACGGGCCTCGAAGCGGTTCCTGGGCCTCGCAGGGCGTTTTGCCAAGCCCCAGCACACCTAGGGCGATCAGGGGGGTCATCGGAGACGTCCCAGAGACCCCCAAGACAGCACAAGAGCGCTCCAAGAGTGACCGACGTGACCTCAAGATGGCCCAAGAGGCCTGCCGTAGCCATTTTGGCTCAAGACGGTCGGCCAAAGGGCCGCTGCGTGTCGCATCGGCCGTCGCCCCCTTCGCCTGCATAGCTTCTAGCCCACCCTGGCGCCCCGGGGGCGACCACCCCCGAGGGGGCCGCAGTGCGCGCGGCATGGAGAGCCCTCCGGCCGTCGAGCACTCGCTCGGCGGCAGCCCCCGCGAGGCGCGCCGCGGGCCGCGCCGGGCCCCCGCGGCCCCGGGGCCGGACGGCCCGGCGGAGTTCTCCAGCAGGCAGCTGGAGCAGCTGCGGCACGTGGTGCAGGACGCGATCCGGAAGGAGGTCCATGTGCGGCTCTCAAAAGAGAACCGGTCCCGCTCCAGGGGGTGCCATCGCAGCCGCAGCGGCAGCGTGTCCCTCGACGACTGGGTGGAGGGCGCGGGCGCGAAAGCGGTGCCCGTGCAGGCCAGCGGAAGCATGCGGGGAAAGGCGGCGGACGACCCGGTGGCCGCAGATGACGGGGATCAGGAGGACGGCGGCCCGGAGTCCCTGTCGGGGAGCCCCAGGACGAACCAAAGTTTCGGGTCCCCGGTACAATGGAAGCCCTCCAGCTTCAATGACCATGGCAGCTCCGCGGCGACCATGCTCAACAAGAGGCTGCCGTCCACGGCGACCATAGAGCTGAGCGACAGCATGCCGCTGTGGCAGAGGCAGTTTCAGATCAGGGTGCATCTCTTCGTCCATTCCCACGCGTTTGACGGGGTCATGGGCCTCGTCATCCTGGCGAGCTGCGCGGTCACGGGCATAGAGGTGCAGCTCAAATTTGACGGGCAAGACGTTAGTAGCTGGCTTTCTTCTCTCATGCCTTGGCTGGACTCGTTGTTTCTGTTCT